ATTTGGCCGACTACTTTTGAGCGCTACTGTATGTGTAGCCAATGCCAAGAGTCCACCCCATACTTCTGTGTGGTGAATATTTTCAGACTTAAGGCGAAGTAGGGAATCGAATCAACACCTAAAACATGTAGTTACCGCTAGACTTCGAAATCTCGAGTGCCGTTAATCCTGATACTTTCGTTAGAGTACACGCGTAAACAAAAATTTAATGTTCGATCGAAAATATTTAGGGAACATTTGCTCGAGCGTTATGCACAGTGGAAAGCCAAACATTTTGTCGATACCACTAGTGTGCTCCAATCAGGGTCAACCGCCCGTTGCGCAAAGAACAACGAGGGGGTCGTATTCAGCCGAACGAAAGGGAGGGGGTCGTATCCAGAGAGACGGGGCTGCAAGACGGCTTGAAAAGTGCAGTGTCCGGGAGTGCACTTTCACCTCTAATGTTCTCCAGGAGCTCTGCACCGTGCTGTCGGAGAGTCACACAGACAATCTCGGGGGATATGTACGAAGGAGCCAAGGCAGCTATACGCACCCTATGCGAGCTCCATGGGAGCACTAAGCATGCAGAGCATTATAAGTCTCATCATTGTCAGCCATTATTATCCTTAATACACGGACGGCGCTTTCGCTCGACAGCATAGATCAAGATTACAATAGCCAAAAACTTTGTTACAGCGTAGTGCAAAAACATGGTCTGTCTTCGATGATCGAACATTCCTGAAATCCCAAGGAGAACAAAGTGTAGAGCAGTTCATGGGGAAGTGAAACAAGAGTACCATATAACAGTACAATGCAACTCAATCACGATACTAACACCTTCTTCAGGAAAATGGAGGACTTTCAAATGCGAGTGCGACTTCTGCCCACAGACAGGTGCACGGCGTATACCCGAGCAGGCGTTTTCCCATAAAAACGCCTTCTCTGTCAGCGGCCGTAAGCAGACAAACTTTCTGAAGAGAATTTCGATGCTTTCAAATCAAATCTAAGCGGAACAAAGTGTAGCGAATTTGCTGAATTGAGTTCTAGAGACCCTTAGGAAAATTGAGGCAGAAGAAAGAATTTCAGGAAAATTTCACACTTGTTATGAAGTACTCTTCGAGTAGATTCTAACATCTTTACCGCTTCTCATCACATAATTTTGAAGGAAGTTATGGGCCTTTGAAGACTGCATAGTCGCGGTCCAGGAAAATGGCTTGAAAAAAATCAAGGTGGAAAAAACGGAACAACGGGACTATTTTTTGAGCGAGTGATTATTTCAAAAAGTTTTAGCACTTATTCGAAAGCTCTAATCTTCTAGTTTCTAGCCTTAGACATCTGCAAAAAGTTGATTATGAAGAAAGTTATGAACGTTTGAATGTCGAAAACTCGCGCCTTCTCAAAAATCGGACCACAAACCCCCAAAAACGGAACAACGGGACTATTTTTTGAGAGAATGATCGCTGGAAAATTTTCAGGTGCTTGTTCGAAAGCTCTAATCTTCTAGTTTCTAATTAGCCTTAGACATCTGCAAAAAGTTGATGAAGAAAGTTATGAATGTTTGAATGTCGAAAACTCGCGTGTGCTAGGAAGAGAACTATTTGAATTTTTAAATTTTGGTGTCCGGTTCCATGAGACCGCTTCTGAAAAAAATATAACCTTCTGAATGGAGGGGTTTGGATTGCAACGTAATTGCTACAAGGTTTAGTTTTTCAGATTATAAAATAAGGAAAATTGAGAGATCGAAAAAAACTTGGTAGGTTTCTGAAAGTAGAAATCTTTACGATTAAAATGATGTATTGGTTTACGCAAAAATTTGGAAATTCCTTCTATTTAATGAATAAAACTTCATGTTGCCTCGATTCCCTCCTCTGAGCGAGACAAAGCGCGCGGATTGACCACGGTCCACCACTTCTCCATGTTGGTGACTGCCCACACATCAATGATGAGCATTAAATTATGTGAAAGACATAATAGTTAATACGGGGGGTCGTACCGATACCCTCCGAAAAGGAAGGGGGTCGTAAAAATTTTGGAATTTGCGCAACGCAGGGTTGACCCTGGTTTCAACACTAGTAAATAGAAAGTGTGTCCCATACTCTGCAGAATCAGTAATTTTATTGCTTTGAATGGTGTCGACAGCTATGTGTTCGCAAGCTCTGCAAGATTGATTGGATTTCAAGCGAGCGGCGAGCCAAATACTCAATTCAAATGTTTGACGTGGACAACTGAGAAAGCGTATGTGACATTGACTTTGCTGAAATCGTCGCCCTTTAGTTACCAACTTGCGATTAGCACACCTCTAGCCGCAAGTAACAGCTCACAGTACGAGATTAAATCACGGAAACTGCATGCACTCGCCAATTTTCTTCAATTTTTTTTCCGGCTGCGACTAATTTCCACTAAATGGCTTCCCAAAGAGGTGAAGTCGTCTCCCCATCGTAATTATTTAAAAGGTGTACAGGTGATGTACTCTGGCAGGCGACCTCCAGAAGCGTGTTATGCTTCTTGTACGGTGTGTGAGCATTGGAAGTCTTCCGCTGCCGTCACCTAAGCTAGCCTGGTGGTCTCTGATGTGTTTGGATCTGAAGTTCTTTAAAAGCTTTTCGGACATCGGAAACGCTACAACATCCTTTTATAAGGTGGGATGGAATCTGAAGACACCTACCTTTGTGTCGCGCCATCGCTTCTCTATGCATAGCTTTGCTTCGCAACTTGGCTAAGTTACTATTTAATGCAGATTCGAACTGTAACTGTTGAATATTTAGTACTGAAATTTGGTAAGCCTTCAAAAGGAAGTAAAGGAAGAAGAGATGTTGTCATAGTCTGCCTTTTTCATGACTAGTTCGTCGTTTTTTGCTCCTTTTGTTGGTAGGACTCATTAATAATGATCATTCTTTGACTTTTTCTACTTTTGTACTTCTTGAACGATTTTTTTGTGGAGGTGGGGTAGCAGGGCTTTTTTATGAACAGTTTTGGGGGAGAATTAAACAACCTTTTCATAGTTCGGCTTTTGAAGAGGGTCGTTTCATGGACTTCGGCCTCTGGGGGAGGGGGGGGGGTCGTATTTCACAATTTTCCTCGACGCCTCGCTTGACCCTGGCTCCCGTTGCTCCATGCCGATGCCGAGACGCAATGCTAGTGCTGCCGTAAACACGGCCGCGCTCCTCTCGCGGCGCCAGCGAAGCAGCCGACAACGGAAGGCGGGGTTTGCGGACCAAGGTGTGAATTGCGGGTCGAGTGAGCTTCTAACCAGGGTCAACCCTACGTTGTTACGAGTAACAACGGGGGGTCGTACTCAGTTGAGCTTGGAGGGAGGGGGGTCGTACCCTCTCGGTGGCCGACAGTGGGATTCTTGGTAATATCGGATAATAGCCAGCACGTTACGTTTTCGTAAGATGACTGATACAGAGCATCTATAAACCACGATTCCCTCTAAATGAGCTTTCAAATGAATCAGCGAATTAGAAGGGCGCCCGAGGCGTGGCGCGCACCAAGGCAAGGGATGTAGTGCAAGCGCATGCTCGGAGCTTTCTAGCACATCCTAAATTAAACATGAAATTGGTCTTCCAAGAAGTTACGGGCAGTGAAACCTAAGAAAACTCGCGTTTTCGAGAAAATGGCTTGAAGAATACCCCTCAAAATAAAAAGTAACAACGGGACTAATTTTTGAACTGCTGATCTTCAGAAACGCTTGGGTGCTCGTTAGAAAGCTTGAAACCTGTAGTTTATTACACCGTGTTCAGCTTCCCAAATGAATGACTTTGAAGGAAGTTATGATCGTTTGAAGGTCAAAAAGTCGCGGTTCCAAAAAAATAGTAACGCAAACCCCCAAAAAAGTAACAACGGGACTAATTTTTGAACTACTGATCTTTCAGGAACGCTTGGGTGCTCGTTAGAAAGCTTGAATCCTGTAGTTTATTATACGTGTTCAGCTTCCCAAATGAATGACTTTGAAGGAAGTTATGATCGTTTGAAGGTCAAAAAGTCGCTTTGCACAGAAAAAAGTAACAACGTACTAAATTTTTATTAAATTAACTTTCGAAGAATTTTTACCCATGGTTGGAGAGAGAATAATTTGAATTTTCCAAATCAAATCACTTCGGCGCAGAAGCTCGAATATGAAGGAAGTTATAGCCTTAGAAAGAGGGGTGTAAAAATTGTGTTGCAATTGAAGAACGTGAAGGATTTCAGTATTTCAATTGGAGCGATAATTTTTTCTGACTTCTCATAAGTTTTTATCAGGGTAATTGTCAATATTCCGGTCACTGGTTCAGTTTATTTCATCTCCTAGTTTGGTAACCCTTTGGAGTACACGGATATCTTTGAATGCATCTCATTTTTTCGTGTTTGCAAGCAGCGATGAATATCTGTCGTGGATTTTGCTAAAGTTTCATCTTTGATGACTTACGTAGAAATAAATATTGATGGTAAACACTGTCTCTACACAAGTGTCACATACAAGGGGGGTCGTATCAAATCACCCATGAAGGGGGGGGGTCGTAAAAAATTTCCAAAGAGTAACAACGATAGGGTTGACCCTGCTTCTAACACATTTGTCACGCACCTTCAAGCCGCAAAGAGGGCGCGACATCAATGCTTCCGCCTTTCCACTATGCTCGGAGATGAAAACAGGTGAGCGTGCCCCACCCCGTAGCGGCGCCTTCAGGGCATAAGGTATTGTAACACAAAAACGAAAAGGACATGAACTTGTTACCAACAAATAACATTCGAAATATCGCAGGTCATCACTTAGAAAAGCAAAAAAGTTAGCTGACGCCACAAAACCCATAAAAAGATATTTTCTCAGGAATGCCAAGAAAGAACAACAACAAATTCTATCGGAAAAGGACCATGGAGATGTAGGACGTGACTGGAGATTGCTCCAAGAATATCTGCTCGATTATCACAAAAAAAAACGCAAACTAACAAATTTGAAATCGACCGGTCGGGAAGCAAATCAACGTCATTACCCGTATATAGAATGTAGAGTGCTTCGACAAGAGATTTTCCCCCAATTCTGCTTAAGTACGTGAGCGAGACCCTATTGGGAAAGAGACGTTCTCATATGAGTACAACATACACATGTCGATCGCAGCTACGACAGTTGTGCCCTTAATGGCAAACCCATTCACGGCTCCGAAGCAGGGGCACCGTAGCGTGTCCAACTCTACGTTCTGACTCAGCGATTCGGACAGCCACGGTGACTGACGAGTACCAGAAGAAATGTTAGTGCTGAAAAAAAGCATAATAAGTGGCAACAATTAGCCGAAAACCTACTTACAATAGTCTAGAGCAAGTTCTCAAGACCCTAAAAGGAACTTCGGTGACCAACGACCTCAAGGATACGTAAAATGAGATCACTCTAAAAGGAGTACTTCGTGGATATTGTAGACATTTCGGCAGATTGTATTCGCGCTATGGTTGCGTCATTCTCAAACATAGCGCGAATCCAGTCTGCAAAATTCGAATCGCAAACCGCTGGCTTTTAATTTAGGAAACAATGGATCCACATGGGGGAGGGAAAACTATTACAACAAAATCCTTCGAAGCATTCTTACACATCCACGCTAATGGCGGCCCAGACTGACCGCCAGCTATGCGTGTTTGTGGGTAGGTGGCCGCTACATGGCCTGCCAGCAAATAACTTTGTGCCATTTCCTAATATCAAAACAGGGTTGAATATTTTCCATATTAGTGAATTAAATGGATATTATATACAACTCAGAACATCGTGGTCTACTGTAAAACTAGATATGCTTCAGTTAGGAAAAAGTTTTCTGGGACGTACTGAATTTTTAATTCGTTTGGTTCTTCTTTCTCTTTGTATTACCATGAAAATGTGAATGAATAGAGTACCAGAAGTAAATTCAAAACCAGATGGTAAGCGTTTATGCTGGAACAATCAAGGCTAAGACGCCTTTTTATGTCCACTGAAAAAAAATGATTAATTGCATTTTCATTACAGTTACACGTCTTAGACGACCATCGT